GCATTATTCTTGGTTGTGGAATTGGATATCTTTTGCTTTTCCTATTAGTGTATAGATTTCCTTGGACTCAATGGAATATACACTTAGAATGGGGGGAATGGCTGCCATAGTGAGAATTTTGGAAACTAGAAGTTTCTCAAAAATTTTGACAGGTACCATAGGAAACCTTGTACTTGGATACCTATGTTTCTAAGAGTATGTTTTGTGTGGTTTCTTTCTGTAACATGAAAATGATTGTCACAAAAAACTATCAGCTGCCTAATACATATACTACTTACAAAGACCAAGCTATCACAGCCAGCAAGCTAAGACCATGTTAGTGGAAAATTTTTTTAGTATAATTTTTCACATAACATAATTCACCTAATTAGACTAATAGCTGGGCTTTTTGATATTTGGGTAAGTCCCATTCAGGAAATCATGTAGATGTTCCTTTATTTACATCTCTACTAAGGGAAAAGAAAACCTCTTAGTTATAGCTAAAATGTACAAGTGAATAGACTAAACTAAGATGGATTTTCCTACAGAATTTTCCTTTGAAAATTCTGGTATATATTCCCTCTTTATTTGAGATAAAACTAGCATATATAAATAAATAAGTAAACTTTTTTATATGTATAACAAGAAAATAGGGATTATAAGTAGCTATATTTCATGAATAAGGTTGTAGATGGCCATTTAAATAATGGTTATGTGCATTATCATGGTCTGGGGAACCATAATCAGGCAAGTTGTTTTTTTTTAACTAGGTTGTAGATGGTTTTATCTCCTCACACAAAGTAATGATTTTATAGGTTAGTATGTTGTGAGGAACCATAATCAGTTAAATTTCATGAACAAGGCTGTAGATGGTTCTCCCTCACATTAAGTAATGATTTTATAGGTTAATATGGTGTGAGGAACCATAATCAGCCAAGTTTAATGAACAAGGCTGTAGATGGTTGTCTCCCTCACGTATGATTAAATGTGAGACAAGGAGAGAAAGAGAAAAAAAAATAACAATAAAGAAAGAAAGGGTGAAAGAAGAAGAAAATACATAGTTCTCATGAAGGAAGTTGTAGGAGTACCATAGTGAAGAGGTGGAGGAAAACTTCAATCCCTACCATCCACTTTCTCATTTTCTTCTTTTTCTTCACACCACAATCTTCTCCTCTTTCTCCTCTTGTTTGTCTCTTATTGTTGGAAATTCTATTAATAGAATATCATTAGCCAAAAAAAATGGCATTAACCCTCCCTCCTCCTACAAGGAGAGGGGTTTATATAGAGGGAGGTGGTTAGGTAACTCCCCACCCCTCTCTTCTTAAGGTGCCAAGTGTGTCACCCCACTTAAAATGGGTTAAGGAGGAAAGGAAACCTCTTCCCTCCTAGGGTAATGTATGTCACCCCAATTAAAGTGGTTAAAGGAGGGAAAATAACTCCTTCCTAGGGTGACATGGTCACACCACTTAAAGTGGCTAGAGGAGGGAAAAGAGTCTTCTCTTCCTAGGGGGACATGTGTCACCCCACTTCAAGTGGCTAGAGGAGGGAAAAGAGTCTTCTCTTCCTAGGGTGACATGTGTCACCCCACTTCAAGTGGCTAAAGGAGGGAAAATAGTTCTCTTGTTAGGATAGGACAAGTGGCATCCCGTTTATAAATAAGTGGGACACCTCATAAGATTATTAATTAATATAAATTTAATTCTTTTAGGGTTTGTCCCATTAAATGGGCTCTACTGTAGGCCCATTAAATGCCTACTGCATTATAAATAAGGCCCAATTAATTTAGGGTATGTTGTTCATTAAAATGGATTGCATACCCCTTTTTTTCCATAAATTATTTCAGCCCACCCATAGGAATGATTGGGCTTAAAAGATCAAGTTGGAAAGAAAGCCCTTTTTCCTTCTTTTAAGCCGTGAGTGGGAGTATCTTAATAACCTGCTCCTAGTTCAGCAAAATTAATGACTTAACAATGCCTCCTTGAGCACTATGGGCTCAAGAATAACTTGAGGTTACAGTGTTCAAGCCATTTCTTTTTAAAATTGATTGGATTAGATTCTTACAAGTTAGGCTTAATTAGGACTTAAATCTGGTAAAATATGTTGTAAGCCCCTTCAATTGCAAAAGAAATGGGCCTACACATTTATTGTGAGGATTTCCTTTCTTTTTAGTATCTTTTTTTGGTAATTGAAGCGTGATTTTATTAACAAGATGTGAACACTATTACGGGTGTGGCTACTCAAACCAGAGGGAGATGATGGAGTTGCCACCTAAATTTTTGTAAAATGGGAATTTAGGAAAATTTGAGATTTTTCAAGAAAAACAAATGTTTTCTTGGTGAGTCATAACCCGATTGGAATAGAGATTCTTAGGGTTCAAGGACCAAGGTTCAGTGTGGGAAGGTGTTAGGCACCCCACACACGCCTAGCTAAACCAGCCTCTACTTCACCAATGTTTCAAGGAAAATTAAAAAAAAAAATGGGCTTCAAATTTTAGCACACATGCACACTTGCCAAAGCACAAAGAATGAGAGATGAGAATTACCCAAAAGAAAGCTAACAACAAAATGATCAAAGTGAGGGAATGAAATAAATTTAAGCATTAAAGATTGACAAATGAAACAATGCTGAAAAGACTAATGGATTGCATTACTAAGTTTGATCCTAAAGCTGCTAAATGTATATTCCTTGGTTATGCACATAATCAAAAGAGATATTTCTGCTATGATCCTAGTCTTGGCTCTCGGTTTGTGTCCATGGATGTTACCTTTTTTGAGGATGTCCCTTATTATCCAGGTGTTGCTTCTTAGGGGGAGAATAATGAGAAGGATAGTCCTTGTCCTGAAGTTCCTCTACCTATTCCTATTCTTGAAGGAGAGTTGTGTAATGAGGGTACTAGTCAGAGGTGTAGGGAGTTGAGAGTTTACCATAGGAGGTGGAGGCATGTTGATTTTGGTGCTCATAATCAATCCAGGCCAATTCCTCTCTCCTCGGCAGTTCCGGATTCAGTTATTTCTCCCTCCTTGCCTGTTGATACATCACCCTCACCTTCTGATCCCCTACCCCCTCCAGATGATCTTGATCTTCCCATTGTAGTCCGCAAGGGAAAGCGTCTGTGCACTTCATCTACTGCTCATTGCATATCTCAATTTATCACCTATGATCATCTTTCACAATCCTATAGGTCCTTGGCATCTATCTCTGCTATACGAATTCCTAGGTCTATCTAGGAAGCTCTTGCAATACCTGAGTGGAAGAATGCAATGGAGGAATATATGGGTGCTTTCATTAAAAATAAGACCTGGGAGCTAATTGACAAGCCAGAGGGGAAGAAACTAGTTGGGTGCAGATGGGTGTTCACTGTGAAGCATAATGTAGATGGCTCAGTTGAAAGGTATAAGGCTCGGCTAGTTGCAAAGGGGTATACTCAGACTTATGGCATTGACTACCTAGAAACCTTTGTACCTGTTGCCAAGATGGACACCATTAGAGTTCTACTATCCCTTGCAACAAATTTTCCATGGCCTCTGTTCCAACTAGATGTCAAGAATGTTTTCCTTAATGGAGACTTGCAGGAAGAGATGTATATGGAGCTACCTCCTGGGTTTTATGATGAAGCTATAGGGAAGAAAATTTGCAAATTGCAAAAGGCTCTATATGGTTTAAAGCAATCTCCAAGAGCCTAGTTTGATATATTTAGATCGGCTCTTGAATGGTTTGGCTATGTATAGGCCCACTCCGATCACACTCTATTCATTAAGAGAAATGGTGCTTCTCTCACCCTTCTTATAGTGTATGTTGACGACATTGTTGCTGGTTGTGATGTTGATGAGATTGATTCTCTCAAATTACTTAATGAGGAATTTGAAGTGAAAGACCTTGGTGATCTGCGATATTTCTTGGGAAATTGAAGTGGCCCTCTCTAGACATGGTATCTTCATTTCATAGAGGAAATATGTCCTTGATCTCCTCGAGGACATTGGGAAACTAGGGGTTAAACTAGCAGACACACCTATTGAATTGAATCATAAGATAAGCGTCGAAGGGGGTGAGCCTCTTGAGGACAAAGCAATGTACCAACGACTAGTCAGAAAACTCCTTTATCTATGTCTCACTTGTCCTGACATCTCCCATGCAGTTAGTGTTGTCAGCCGATACATGCATTCTCCTAGAACCACTCATCTATTGGTTGTGGAAAGAATCCTTGCTTGAAGAAATGGCCAAGTCATGGAATACTCTTTAAAAATAATGGTCATATGAAAATCGAGGTGTATACTGATGCTGATTGGGCCGGATGTGTTGATGGTAGAAGATCGACTTCAGGGTATTGTGCTTTTGTTGGAGGTAACATTGTGTCATGGCGTAGCGAGAGGCGAAATGTTGTTGCCCGTTCAAGTGTTGAGGCAGAGTACAGGTCCATGGCCCATGGTGTAACTGAAGTATTTGGCTGAGATTCCTTCTTGAGGAACTAGGGATCGAGTATGGGAAACCACTGATGTTGTATTGTGATAACTAAGCTGCTATCAATATTGCTCATAATCCCTTCCAGCATGACAAAACTAAACATATTGAGGTTGACCATCATTTCATCTGCGAGAAAGTTGCTTCTCAAGATGTTTGCTTGCCCTATGTCACCTCTGATATGCAGCTTGCTGATCTCTTCACCAAAGCAGTCACCAAAGTCAAATTGGAATCAGATTTGTGCAAGTTGGGAATGATGAATATTTATTCCTAACTTGAGGGGGAGTGTAGTGATACAGTGGACCAGACCTGATATTTTTATGTGTGGTCCCATAATCAGTCTTTTATTTCTTATTTTTGGCTTTATGCTTGTTTTCTTGTACTGTTATAGGTAGCAGGGCAGTTTTGTCCTTTTACCTAATGTTATGTTAAACATATAAATAATACTGCTTAGGGCAGCAGTAAGTGATTTTCGCCCATTCCTCTCTTGCTCTTCTTCTATTCTCTTTTCTCTTATTCTCTCTTCTTCTTCCTATCGATTTCTGATTTTCTCTTCTTCCTAGAAGTTCTGCTAACAGCAGTAACTTCAAGTTAGTCTACAGTCCATCGTGGCAGGATCATATGGAGTACCTTCACAACACTCTAACTCTTCTATGTAAGCACCAGCTTTATGCGAAAACCAGCAAGTGCTCTTTCGGTCAGACCCATTTCCAGTACTTAGGCCACATCATAGAGGGCGGAAGAGTCTATACAGACCCAGAAGAAAAAGTCAAGTGCATGGTTAACTAGGCCGGGGCCCACATCTCTGAAGTCCTTACATGGGTTTTTGGATCTGATTGGCCTACTACAGGCGGTTTATTCAGGGATATGGCACCCTTGCAGCACCTTTAACACAACCATTGAAGAAGAATACGTTTGAGTGGAACCCCCAAGTTGAGCAAGCGTTTCAGTCCCTTGAACAGGTGGTTACCTCTCCCCCCCACTTTAATTCTGCCAGATTTTTCTAGAGAGTTTAATTATTGAAACTAATGCTTCAGGTCATGGTGTGGGTGCTGTATTGATGCAAGGAGGTCAGCTGGTCGCTTATTTCAGCAAGGCTTTGTCACAGCAGGCCCAGTCCAAGTCCAATTATGAAAAAGAGTTGATGGCTACTGTGCTTGCCATCCAAAAGTGGCGGGCTTTACTTGTTGGGCTGAAGGTTCACAGTCAGGACAGACCACGGAAGCATCCGACATCTGTTGGATCAGCGTATTCTCAACCTGGAATAGCAGCGATGGGCTTACAAACTACTGGGGTATGATTTCCAATATAGAGTATAAACCGGATTCAGCTAACTCAGTGGCTAACACCCTGTCCCGAGGTGCGGAATTATTGGGTCTCTCCCAACCTACTTATCCTCTGCTATATCAGATAAAGGCAGGGGCTCATCGAGACCCAATTCTGTCACAGATCCGCTCCAAGTGGGAACTATATCCAGCTTCAGTGCCTGGGTATACCATATGGATTCTACTCTATTTTACAAGAGGAGGTTAGTTGTGGCATCACCCTATGTTCATTATGGGGATTTGCTACGTATTTTCCATGACTCTGCATTAGGGGGTCATTCCGGAGTATTGCATACCTAGAAGAGGCTGTCCAATCATTATTATTGGAGAGGAATGAAGTCCATGGTCCAATAGTATGTGGCCCAATGCTCCATCTGCCAGCAACAAAAACATAGTACTCAACTTCCTGCAGGCCTGTTACAACTTCTCCCCATACCGGACAGGGTTTGGAACGAAATAACCATGGATTTTATCACTGGGCTACCTAAGTTTCAAGGGAAATCTGTTATACCAGTTGAGGTGGACAGATTGAGCAAGTATGCCCATTTTGTAGCTCTCCCACATCCGTACACAGCATGATGGTGGCCAGAGCCTATGTTCAGGAGGTAGCCAAGCTACATGGCACCCCCAACTCTATACTCACTGATAGGGACCCATTGTTCATGAGTCATTTCTGGGAAGCTTACTTCCAAGCTCAAGGGGTTTGAATGTTGCACGCAACTAGTTACCATATTCAAACTGATGGACAGTCTGAAGTGGTCAACCGCTGTCTGGAAACCTATTTACGGTGTTTCATAGGTGACAGGCCTGAATAGTGGACTACATGGCTCCCATGGGCTGAATTCTGGTATAACACCTCCTTCCAGGTATCGGCAGGTACTACTCCATTTAAAATCCTTTATGGGCGCGGTCCTCCCATTGTGTTACCCTATGATAAGGGATCTATTGTTGTAGCTGAAGTAGAAGAATAGCTCTCCACTAGAGACAAGGTGCTCAAGGACCTGAAGTTATACCTGCAGGAAGCCCAACATCGCATGAAGCTATCCTATGACGAAAAAAAACAGAGAGAATTGGAGTTTCAGGTTGGAGCCCTTGTTTACCTTAAGCTTCAGCCATATAGACAAATTTCTGTGGCATCTCAACCCCAGCAGAAACTAGCACCATGCTACTTTGGACCATTTAAGGTAGCTGAGAGGGTGGACAGGTGGCCTATAGGTTGGATCTACCGGTTGGTTCCAAATTGCACCCAGTGTTCCATGTGAGTTTGCTGAAACCATGCCTATCCCCTTCATCCAGAGTTGACAGTTCTCTACCTCAGTTCTCAAACGAAGGGTCTCTCTTGCTGGAACCCCAGTCTGTGCATGGCTTCAAATGGGTGACACCTGGTTTTAAAGAAGGTCCAACAAGCTCTGGTTAAGTGGAAGAACCTTCCTGTTGAAGATCCAACATGGGAGGACATCTCAAGACTGCAGCTACAATTCCCTGACTTCAACCTTGAGGACAAGGTTGATTCTGAAGCGGGTGGGGTTGATAGGATCCTGGACCAGCACAACAGTATGCAAACAACAACCAAAGCCCAGGCCCAGCAGCCTCCATGTCTGATCACCGAAGGCAGCAACTCAGGAAGAGTATTCCGTGTAGTCCAGCCCATCAAGTTCGTCTACACCAGGAGGCCGCATCAGCATAACTAACTCGACAGTCCCATGTGCATGGAGGTAGCTTGACAGTAACCTGTTTTGATTCAATATAAATAGCATGAAAAGCCCTATGAATGCATGGAAAATATCCGAATCACTTTTTCTTCTTCAACCTCTCTTCTTCTTCTTCTTCTCTCTACTATTCCATTTCAGGAGGAAGAGCTCCCTCGAAGAAGCTCAATAGAAGTGTTCTTATCAGCTTCCTTCCGTTCGTAAAGTATTCCAAGAGAGCAAAAAAAGCATCCTTTGGCATTCTTCTACATTCCACCACATATCTTCTCCCTGATTCTACTAGTCTCTCCTTCCAATAAGTCTGTTTACCCTTGGAAGCTGCCTCAGACACAAACGTACTGCCCCGTTTGGTTGGAAAAAGATCTAGCCGCCAAAAGATGTCTCCCCGAAAAGACGTGTGAAGCCCGTTTTGAGCTATTTTCGGGAAGCTCTAAATGGAGCTTTTCATATTTTTTCTTTGCATCTTTGCGTGGGAAGACGCACCTTAACCAAACGGACTTCAAGCTGCTAAGATCTTAATGCAAAAGTTCACATTTTCCTTTGGCTGGCAGGTCTGTGGGAAGATCTTTCAAAAAGGACTTGCCAAACAACACCGTAGTAAGCCACTTTACCGTCTCTATACCTTCTACCATGACTATTGCCTTCTTAGCTTCCCTTATCTTAACACTGCAAGAACCTTTCATCCTTAATTCTTTGAACAGAAATTCCTTTGCTTCTATCTTCAAATTTTTTCTACATCTCTTAGTCTCCTTGAAGCTTCAGATTGGTGGATGCTACTAGTGGAGCTCATTGGTCCCCCTCTAAAGGCCTCCATGAACTTCTCAGCTCCTACACTTCCTTGGTTACAGGAACTTTTTTGTGTTGTTGTTAGAACCAGTAAAGGTTAGCATTAAAGCTTTAAAAAGTATCACGATGAATAAATGAATTTCAAAGATTAATTGAGATCAAGGTTCTGATGATCTCAAAGTGTAGATCATCATATAGAACCTATCAATAATTAAAATCAAGATCAAGAATTTTAAGAACCTATCGAAGCGCAGATCATCATATAGAAAGAATTTTTGAAACAAACTATTAAAATCAATTATAGGTTCTTCACTAGTATCCAGAAAATTAGCATACCCAATTATTTGGCTGTTGCTCTGGATGATGTGATTGTAAATTTTTGCAAATCAAATGACATCCTAGTGTACAAAGGAGACCCTGATGAAGGTATTGATTCTATTGCAAGGACGGGTTACAGAGTTCTATTGCAAGGTATTGATTTCCTTTCTTCACACAATATGCTGTCTCAGGCAGTCAGGCTTGAAGTTCCGTATCTTGAGAGAGTTCTTGCAGCTGGGTTACAGAGTTCTCCTTTCTGATGTTGATATTATATACTTGCAGAACCCATTTGATCATCTTTCGGGATTCAGATGGGTCTATGACTGATGGCTATAATAACATGACTGTCTTTGACGAACCCGCCATGGGTTGGGCTGATATGCACATACCATGTGAATATGGGTTTACAATTCTGTCTTGTTTTATATAAGGCCCACGATTCAAAAAGTATACACGTAGGCCAGTTTGATTTCACCTTTCAAGAGCTCCGTGAATTATGTCTGCCCATTTCCACTGGGTTTATTTCCACTATGAATTTTGATTTCTCGGCCGTAATAACTGATTTCTTGTTTTCATTTAGTTATGCAGGGACAGAAAAGGATGAGTATGTTGTTTTGTATTTCTGGATATAGATGAGTGTTCCCTGTAATGTGGTGTAATGTACTTCAATAGTCTTGTATTAGGTGAGCCCTAGTGCATCTACTTGAGCATGTCAACTAGAAGTTTGCTTTATCTGAATGTCCACCATACACACACCATCCATTTTATATGTTAACTTTAAACAGAAAAAAGTAGCTGAGTTTTACAGTCCACATTGTAGGTGAAGCATGTTTCATCTCCTCAGGGATCCTAAAAGTATGTACCGAGTATTTACCTACAAATTTCCAGACATGGTCTTAGTGAAAACCAAATGAAATTAGGATTTAATGATTTCAACATTTATGCATAAAGCCAAATGATTTCAACCATGGTTTTTAAAAACGAACCGGTGACCGAACCGGTCAGGGGTCCGGTTACCGGTTTGAACGGTCCGACTGTTCGACCCAAACGGCCAACATGTTCTGACAAAAAATAAAAATTTTTAAAAAATTGGAAACGGTCAAAACCATCTAACGGTTAACTGGCCTTTTCAGTGGTTTAATGACCAAAATCAACGGTTTTGGAGGAAAAAGCGGTTTTGGAGAAAAATGGAACCAATCAGGTAACCGATTCCCAGTTTTTATGATCTGACCGTCCGATCCAGTCCAATTTTGAAAACAGTGATTTCAACATTCCTGCGAACCAAACAGGGCCTTATTTTACAGAACTCTTTTATTCCTCACCCTATAGGCAAGAAGGGACCCATGCTTGATTTTATCTTATAGAGTCACATTTATGGTTCCGGTCCTGACATCTTGCTCCATATTTCTTACGTTGTGCGCGAAGATAGAGCTTTTCCTGTATTCAGAACCAATGTAATCAACCCTAATATTATATTAGGGTAAATTGCTCCCCTGAAATTTATGATTGTTGCAGAAATATCCCTTGAAGTTGGGTAAATTGCTCCCATTTGTCAGAATCATCTAACATGAGTCACGGAAATGTCAATTGCCATTACCAAATTTTAGGAGAGATTTCAGTAATGGTCATAAACTTGAGTGAGAGGTTTCAGCAATTTACCCATTATATTGTTATATTTTTCATATTTTTTATTTTCTCGTCGTCTATGTGTTTTTTTAATCCTTGTCAATTGCCATTACAATATAAAAGTGCTTTTATAAAACCAAAACCGAATAGAAACCTTTTGATTAATCGGTTGATCAATTTGGTTTATCGGTTCGTTTAACCATCGGTTTTCTATATTGATTAACTGAAATCAAACTGATACCTTCAATTATTTTAAAACATCAAATTGAAATTAAACCAATCAATTTTTTGATTCGGTTTTGATCGATTTTTTTTTTTTATCAATTCGACTTTTTAGTTTTCTTCTCACTCCTAGCCCTGCGTATCAGCTGGTTGACACTGATCATAACTTAGAACCCGTTAAGACATGGTATTATAGTCTAACCTTTTTTATTTGAGAAAATATATGATACCAGATAACAACGGGGAGAACGGAATAATGAAGTTTGGAGATTAAAAATGCCCTCCTAAGGTTAGAGTTTGGGGCTTGTTCAGTTGCTTGCAAAGGCTTATAAGCTAGGAATTACCAACATCAATGTGGCAGAAGCTCGGGTCCCGTGGGAGGCCCATAACATAGCTCTCAACTTCAAGCACTTTCCGATCACTTTGGAGGGTGATTCGAAATTGATTATTTCTTGCCTCAACCAGACCATTCAAACCTGATGGAGTGCAATCCGGTCGGTCCTAGCTGTCAACGATCTTGCCTCTGACTGGAGCAAAAGGTGCCTGAAACGGGGAAGAAAGCGAGTATCTCTGGGGAGGAACCCGGTGAGAGTGCTCCGAAGCTCAAGTTAGTATTCTTTCAAAGGCAAGATAAGAAACCAGATGGCGCAAAGTTATCACGTACCTTCCTTCTTGGGGGGAAGAGGGCCTTTTATAACCACTTCGCGCACTCATTCCCAAGCTCCTGTCAAGTCGGGTATCATTACCTCTGCACTTCTGCCAGTTCGGGTGTCATCACCTCTGCTGGGGCAGACAACCGCCACTGCTCTCTTTGTCGGAGTCGTCTCTGTGACTGGAGGTGGCGGTGGCAGGTGGTCGTTGAAGTGCGGCTGTCAAGCGTCAGATCCTAAGTCAGTCAGGTGCGTCGCCTCAGGATACGGACTCCTTTGGTGTCAGGTACGGTTGTTCAGTTCGGCGTCTTGAGTTCGGATGGAAGTGTGGCCTGAGCTGCCCTGGGGTGGGCCAGTTCGAGTTGTTGCCCTCTGCGCTCCTCGTAAGGCTCGGGGTCAAAGGGAGAGTTCGGGCTCCTTTTGGGGAGCTCGGACCGCTGGTTCCTCCTCTCAGAGCTCACGCCTTGAGCGTACTGCTGTACCGAGTTGTTGCTTCTGCCAGGTCACTATCGGTTGCTTCCACGTGTTGGGTGGTCAAGAGGTCGGGCCAAATCTTCATCAAAACCCATGGACAATGAGGAACATTATTTCAAGTTGCCTGGAGCTGAAGAACGAATTCAACAGAGGTCTCACCTACAAACACGTGTTTCGAGAGGAAAATCAAGCTGCAGATTAGGTAATCTTCCTTGGGCTTTTATCTTTCATTTGTTTTGCTGATTTGCGGGAACGCGCTACTCCCATCTTGTGTAGCCCTCTCATTGCATAATAATAAAAAAAAAGACATGGTATAGAAAAAGCTTTGAACAATCAAAGCATCCTGTGAATTTTGATAAATACCCTTGATCAAGGTTCAAAATATCGATAAGCCCGATACGTCGGTAGTGGCATATTGGGCAGTATCGATAGTTTTTTTTTTCTTGAATATGATTCAGATGGGCTGGTTTAAGATTCATCCACCCTTTGAATCGGTCAAAACCCCAAAACACCCCTTATTGGGGCATATTAGGGAGCCTTCGATACGATACATATCGGCTGATACAGCCCCATACTTATCGATACTTTGAACCTTACCCTTGATTGGTCATCATTTTTATGATACTAATTGATTCGTGTATGTTTTTCCAGGTCCAGTTTTATAGTCTAACCCTTTTCGTTTTTAAGTAAATGTGTGAATGATTTCATCTAGCTGAGGTCAGATTTGCTCCTTAAAGAAACACTCCTGGCACCAAACCTCGCAAAAACATTTAGTTGTGTATTGGGAATATCTTCTGTAATCTGTCCATATACTTTGCCATTCATGTGAAGATGTTCTCAATGCATGGCAGTGATGTGATATTTGAGGAGTAAATCCTAATTCATTAAGGATGCATTTGGGATGATTTTTAATAAGCATTTATATGACATTTTTATTTATAAAAAGCCAAAATCACTAAAAAAAAAAGATATTTAGTGATAAAAAAGGCCTAAAAGGCAACTTTTTTGGTCATAAAGATCCTGTTAGAAGAAAAGAAGAAAATTTTAGGATTAAGTACACTGTAACCCAAATACCCAATGCAGAATTCTGATTGACAACCCCCATAAGTCTATTAGTAGACCCCTTATAAACCTCATCCTGCTTATAAATTTGGTATCAATTCACAGTCAGGATTTATCCCCTTGTCCTCAAGGTTCAAAGTATCAATACCGGTATATCGGCAGTATTGTATCGTTACTTAGAAACACACAAAACACTTTATTTTTTAGGTTTTTTTTTTAAACATTGGTTTTTGGGAAGCTAAAAATAGGTTCTTTTATTAAAAAAAAGGTGGGATTCCCGAAATATTGTTTTTTCAAATCTTGGTTGTACAGGTGTTTCGGGGTGTATTTTGGAGCGTATCATATCGATAGTTTGAGTCTTGCCTGTACGGTGAGACTAAAAAGTTCTGACAGTGACTCCCAAAAATTTTTGACACGTGAATTTTGATTTGTTTTAATTTTAGCGATAAAATGGCAATTCGGTAATTTTCTTCATGTGGAAGCGGACATAGCAATATAGGCTATATATATAGCATACCTTTCCTGGACGATTATCTGCCATGCATGGTGTGGCATACATGATACACCTCGTCTGGACACCGTCGATCGAGTACATGAAATGGGATCCAGTATTCAGAGGTATAACGAATATCTACTATATTTGGTTTTCGAATTTGATATATACGAAAGAGATTGTAAAAAAGTTCACATCGGCGCCCTAGCACATCTCCATCATGTATAGGAATATCTTCTTATGAGATGTTTTCATTTAAGGGTGAGTATGAATCAGTTTGGTTTCATGGTAAACCTGAATAGTTTCAGTTTTTTGGGAATTAGAACCTATTCTACAAATGTCGATTTTAGGGTCAATTCTGGCCTTGTCGCCTTAGCAGGGTCTAATTCTAGGGTCTATCTTATAAATTATCATAATATGTTAATATATGATACAAAATTTATTTTTATAAATATTAGATTATGTATATACATTCAAATATTAAATGAACAGGGATTCAGGTAAACCCTTAGACATTGGAACTGACCTGAATAGGGATTGGTTCAACGCCAATTGGAGGTCTATATTACATTCGGTTTCAAATTTGATGGAAAAAAAAAATAAAGAAAGAAGCAAACAAATAAGAGAAAGGATTAGTGGGCGCCAATATAGAAGAGAATTTAGAATACCCGGGAAAACTATATGGTTCGTAAGCCGTCTTATCTGTTCGAAAATCCAATTTGTGGCTCCGGTCTCACTAAACCCACTATCTTCGTCTTCTCTTGTGAATTCAATATATATATTTTTTTCTCTATTAAATATATAATTTTGTCTCATTTGCTTCTTAAGTATGAAATCTCTATTGTTCATCTCCCTCTCTGAAACTTCTTCTGTGTTCATCTCATTCTTATTCCAATTTCCAACTCCTACGGTCCTACCCCAGACACCCTACCCCCCCTCTCTCTGTTGTGTTTGTTTTTGTCTGAGTTTTGGTCTTTGAAATTTGAATCCAGTACAAAAGCTTATAACAATCACTAGTTCGATGTTTCGGATGATAAACCATTTTCAGTAGTTGGATGTAGTGGAAAGTGGAAACGATTTATTTTCTTGTATTTTCTTTTTTCAGTTCTCTTGTTTGGTTTCGTCAGCTGTAAGTCTATTTCCCGCCTTCTCTGCTTCCGAGATTTCTGGCTGAATAAGTGTGATTTCTATTATCAGCGATTTTGATCTGAATTGTTGTTTGTTCAATGGGGTAGAGAGCTTCTATTCATTTCAATTCCGTCACAAGGCTTCTCTTAATCAGAAGAAACAATCTCATTTCGCCCGGTTCACTCTTTTAACTGATGCATTAAAATGGAGAAATTTTCTTATAGAGATCATCAAGTGTTAGGTCATAATAGTCCACGGAAATCGTTTGGAAACCTTGGCTCGTCGCCAAAGATCCCATTGGCAAATTCAGAAGTTGATTTTAATGACGTATTTGGTGGCCCTCCGAGGCGTTCTTCAGTCCATGAGACGCGGTACAGCTTTAGTGAAACTCTGGATTCCTATGCATTTAGAAGAGGTGGGGAAGGCGCATTTGGCTCTCGCAATTCATGGTCTCTGGGTGAGAAACCGGTGTTTGGCGAGGACGTTGCGAGCCGCAGGAGGTACCCAAGTGGTGACTTCTTTGATGACATATTCAGAGGTGACGGGTCTTCAAGCTCCACTCCTAGAAAGCCAGATCGGGATCCCTTCTCTTCCACCCCGGCTTCTAGGATCCTGAGTCCAGCCCGCCCCTTGCCACCCAAATCTGATCTTTTTGGAGCTTCATCCTTCCCTGCACAACTCAGGTTTTTCTCTCCACATAGTCTCTTCTGCTAAATTGAAGTTAACACAAAACCACCTCCAACAGTCAGAAACTATAAGTCATCACGTTTCTATATTGCAATGTCAAATCAATTTCATTGCAACCCAGTAGTAACCGATTTTGCATTTTAAAAGCTAAACTATAAAGATACGCATCTGAATTTTTGAGTGGTTAGATGGAAAAGGAAAAGATAGCATATGGATTCACTTTGGTATAATAGTGAACTCCCTCAGCTTTTTCCTAAGAAAAAAAGATGATACTATTGCAATTTGCAACCTTAAAAAGTTAACATCATATCTTCAAAAGGGTGGTATGGTTCCAGAACCATACCAATCTTTTTTCATTTAATGACATTTTTTTTTTGGAACCACACAATGCAAAAGAGGCTGTTCTGTTCATGGTTCATTTTTTTTTGATGAATAATAATAAATTTATTGATTCAGAAACAAATTTAGAGTGAGTTCATACATCATCCCAGCGAGAGGCGCGAGCTGCAGCTCCTCCTTGAAACTTACAAGTAAACTAGGAAAGAAAAACAAGAATCACAACTGAGCCCAAAATAATTCTTCCCTATTTA